AGGAGATCAAAATATATCAAGGTGACGTGGCAGAAAATAGAGTTCATCTTGCCGCGTCTGAGTATCCGGCTTCTCTCCTCAGATCGTCTTCCGCCACACTTGATGCAATATCTATAAAAGAGGAAATAAAATTAATTTTAAACTTATCACAAACATCTTTTTAATCCATTGTCAGCTATTATTAATTTTCATGCTTTCCTTCTTTAGTGAACTTTTTTCATTCAATGGCAGTTTCGCTCGGCCCGGAAATTGTCTTAGCCTATAACCCAACATAATATAACATTTTGTTATTGGACGTTTTGTATCAATACCGTTGTGTACCTTCTCATTTTCTGTCTTTAAGTTAAAGTATAAATTAGATAATCAGAAAAAAGTTTTTCTGTTTGAAAACTAAGTGAATATATTCATTCGGGGTTTCTCTTCAAAAGTGACTTGAGCTTGCTTTAGAAAATTTCGCCCCCTTTCCTGTCAATTAACGGTTCATTTTCAAGTCAACAATTTTATTTAGTACTCAAAGATTTTTCTGTTTACATTGGTTGATTTTTAATTAATTCATGTTTTTTAAAGCAAAACTTTTAAACTTCAATTTGGGTCCTTTCGATCACGCCAAGTGACGAGAAAAATTTGGCCCCGATCATTTCAGTCGTTTTGACTTTTGTTAACAGGCAGGCAATATATATATATATATATATAAATATAAAAACATTCGGGTTGGGTAACATTTTTTAAGGTTGATAGCAAACAGGGGAACAGACAAGCAAAATATATGTATATATATATATCAGTTGAAACGCAACAATCTTCTTATAACATTTTATTCATATATTATGTTATATATATATATATTATATTATATATATATATATATAGATATAAAAACATTCGGGATGGGTAACCTTTATTAAGGTTGATAGCTAACAGACGAACAGACAAGCAAAATAGATATAAAAACATTCGGCAGGGTTACAGTATGGAATTATAATTCAGAAAATACCATGGCAGGCTTCTTTAGTTACCTTTGTTCCTAAAATTCTAACCAATAAACTCTATTAAGCTCTATTTATATTTCTATCTAAAATATCTCTCGCATGGGCCTCCTTATGAATCCGTTTTCAGACATTGAAGTTTTTTTTATTTGAGGTTTTAAGTGCTTCATAAAAATGTGAGTTCTTTATCACTTTTCAAAATTGTATTCTCGACAAGCTTGCTTTTAATACAACCCGTATATTTCAAAACGGAAAACAAAAACGATTTTTGGTAAAATCTTTTGTCAGAGTTGAAATTTTTCAAAATGTAATATACACAAACTTGTCCAGTATGTAATTATGGAAAAGGATATATGTTATTAGTACACATTTCGAAAAATGTATAGGCGCAGAATTTCTTCTGGAAACTTTGGGCTTAGGTCTCCCAACCATCGTTCATCCAAGATTTCTCTTAGATTGTTCCACGAATTTACTAATCCAGCATTGATGACACAAAACCATAGTAATTCATTTTAAACTTAAGTTTCCAGGATATTTTTGATTCACAACTTTTGAATACCAGACATTAATACCTAAAATGGCCATCCTAGTTTTCGTTGGGATAAATTAATTGTAAATATCTCCAAAAAGTAAGAAAAACCTTAAAAGTACAAAAAATTATCTCAAAACGATGTAGCTATATATATCTACACTAGTGACCTAATTAAACATTAGAATTATAGAGAAAACTTAAAAAAGTCAGGTTTACAATCTTTTATTGGCAAATTAACATATAAATACGAACATGCTACTTATAAACTGTACATAAAGGAAAAAATGTACTGTACAGTGTACATAAAAGAACAGTAGGTTCCTCTGATAATAGAAATCATTATTTCATTTAGACATACACCGCAAAATGCACATATATAAAGGAAGAGTTCACGAAAATACAATTAGGTAGAAGAAACAAGTAACGAATTTTAATTTCGAAACCTTTATTTCATTTAATTCGATTTTTCCGGGAAAACAACTACAGAAGTCCTTCAAACACCATTCGTAAAAATACTTGATAAAAAACGCGGCTAGAGTTCTGTAAGAGAGTCCTTCTGTTTCTTTTTCTCCTAGAAGATACTTCAAGGGAACTTATATTTATCTTAAACGTTTTCAATTAAAAAAAACTTAGTAACAATAGTGACGGGGCAGAAAGACCCAACTGTAGTACAAAACTGTAGGAAGTATAAAATATTAACAATGATAATAATAATAATACAAATAATAGTAATAATAATTACACTATATCACAAAATAACAAAAAGTTGAATAAAGGTGAAATGATTACTACTTTGCTCTAAACACAAGTCACAAACTTGGTGTTGCATCATCATGAATGTTTTCTCCAAAATAGTCGAGAAAAGAAAAGGGATTCAAAATTTTTCTCAATTTTTTTTTTTAAAATCCCACCACAGTTGAAATATTAATTAAAAATGAAGTGTTGTAATTTTTACGGTTTAAAGCGTGGTTGTGTTGTTAAGGGTAAAATTGGGGAATTTGCTTTTGGTTTCACAGTGGTAGGCGATTATATCAATACAATCAAGACGAGTTTCGATTTTAATTTAAATATAGATTAAGCTGTTACAAAGCATGGATATTGGATTCACAAACATAAAAGTCAAGAGCATCTGTCAATTAAAAAACTTAACTTGCGATTTGAAAAAAGCTTGTTAAAATCAAAATTAAAAAAAGTCGTCCTTGCTGTATTGGTATAATCGCTTACCACTATAGGATAAAATTTTATCGCCAGAGAAAATTAAAGAGAGAGAACGACTTTTGGGGCGGTTAAAAAGAAAAATAAATCAATCGATATTTGATCAAATAAAAAAATCAGAATTTAATTTATTTTCTGGACCGGGGTTTCCGCTTCGATGAGTCCTCCTCCGTGTCCTTTTCAGCATCAGGAGCAGGGACAGATTTGTCAACATTAGTCTCCTCCTTCTCCTTCTCCTTAGTCTCCTTCGTCGGCTCCTTCTCCTTCTTTTTCTCCTTTTCTTCCTCTGCTTGAGCTTTCAACAGAGCTCTTTCAGAAGTTGACAATTCTTCTTTTTTCTCCTTTAAAAAATATAATTTTAAAAATTCCGTCCTTAATTGGGGGAAAATATATAATTTTTGGCAGCGGCCAAACTCTGTTACTCGATTGGCCGCAATTAATTATAAGAAGAGAGATATTAGTTAATATTTTAGGGTTAGGTTAGGGTTAGAAACTTTCTGGGTCACGCGCTGCGGTTAGGACAGGCTAGGAGGCCAAGGGCCACGGCTAGGACAGACTAGGAGGCCGAGCGCCGCGGCTAGAACTGGCTTTCTCTCTGTCTTATAATTTATTACGGCATTCGCGACTAACACAGATTGGCCGCTGCCATAATGTTTAAGGCGAGGAAAAGTATTAAAAAGGTTGAAATTGCCCCTTGAAGTCCAATTCTACTTCCCCCCCCCCCACATTCTTCAGAAAAAAAATTTGACACCCCCTGCCAAGGATTTAAAAACTATTTTCCAGGATAAATTACCTAACCCTTCTCTCTACACACGGAAAAACAAAATGAGGGAAAATAAATAGGTGTTGATCAATTACTACTGTACGCAAAACTTTCAATATAAATCTGAGTTTTTAAAAAACAAATTTCGTCATTGACAAGATAGATCATTATTCATTATGCATGAAATCAACGCAAAATTTTTGAAATTTCTACCTTTTGTACTGGTTCCTTGTCTAATTTTCCTTCTTTTTGTTTCTTTGTTTCAGCAGATTTTCGTTTTTTAGGTTTCTGTTTCACTTCATCTTCGTCATCAGTGTCCTCATCGAATTCGAATGCGCCCATAGCGTCCTGGGCCTTTTCCGCAGATTTCCTCTTCTCCACCTTTCTTCCAACCCGTTCCTCGGTAACCACGGGCTTCTTCGGAGGTTTCACCTTTATCCTGACCTCCTTCTTAGCTGGCTTTTCCTCGTCACTGTCATCTTCGTTTTTCCCGGATTTTTTCTTCTCTTCTCGTTTTCGTCGTCGTTCAATCTCGTCCAGTTGGTCCTCACCCTGGTAGAGGGATATGTCCACTGAAAATTAAATATATTTGTTAAACATGGAATTGATGAAATGTACAACCAACACTTTCTTAAGTGTTACCATGTATTGACATAGTAACAAATATGTCACAATACCTGTTTTATTGTTTATGCAATAATTACGAAATAAATTACGGAATAGTACGCAATACAACTACATTAATCCGTGTACACTGTACACTATACGCACAAATTATGTGATCATATTGCAATTCTCAGTTCTTGAGATCCGGATCCTGGATCCGCACTGGGAAAAACGTCCTCAACATTTCTTCAAGATTCACAAATTTTTTAGACGATAGAAGAATGTTCTAATTTTTTTTTTGCTAAAACTTAGTTAACCTTTCAGAAATTTGGAAAATTTTGTCAAAACATGATTTGTCAAAAATTTTGATTTGTGTTTTGAGAGCAATATTTTTGGTTTTGGTTTATAATTTTCTCAATGGATTCGCATATTTTTGCAGATCCGAATCCTAAGCACTGGTAATTTATAGATTTTTTAAATAATTGAGAAAGTTGGATGATTATAGTCTACTTACATCCATCTGGATTATCCTCTGTGAGTAAAGAATCCACATCAAGTTTCCCTGCAGCCTTATCCCTGGCTCTCTGTAAGATCTTATTGATCCTCTCCTTCTCCTCCTAAATCAGCAAATTTTTATAATTGTGATTGTCGAAGTTAAGTTTTGTTTTTAATCATCATTGCTGAAACAATCTCAAGAACTGACGATTGACGAGGGTCAACCCAGACCGAAATATATTTTCAATAAAATGTGGAACTAACTTTTTACTCTACATAGGATTGGGCCATCACCGAAATTTAAAAAGATAAGCTTAAACTGAAAAATTGAGAATTCAAATGGCAGTATTCCCCTGCTGTGAAACTAGTTATTTCCCCATTAAAGTGAATGTTCGCGAAAAATGAAATTGGGTAAAGCCTGATATCGAATTATTTAAATAAGCAAATTTAAACAGGGTTCCATATAATTCCATCCAATACATCACACAAAAACAGTTAAAACAAGTGTAAAGCAAGATCTCAACAATCCCATATGTTGATTGATTGATATAATATTTTTTATATAAACAATTAATATCCCCTCCTTACACTAAAATTATTATCATTATTATCATTATTATCATTATTATCATCATTATCATTATTATTATTTTTATCACTTTTACCATTATTATCATTATTATCATTATAACCGTCATAACCATCATTACAGTCATTACCATCATTACCATCATAACCATCATAACCATCATATTCATTACCACCATTACCATCGTTATCATCCTGTTATGATAATTATGATCATTATGATCATTATAATCATTATAATCATTTTGATCATTTTGATCATTATCATCATTAACATCATTAACATCATTATCATTTTCATCATCATTATCATCGTTACAGTAACTATTATCATTCATATCATCAGTATCATCATTATTATTGGTATTATCTTAAATCATTAATCGCACTCTCTTTTTAGAATTTTCACTTGAAATTACGTTGACAGTCCCTTTAAACACAACTGACCTGTTTTGTCGTTGAAATCTGGTGCATAAATATCTCCCTGGGGGTTATCCTTGGCGGGGATAATATGGGGCTCGTTACTTAACCACTGTATCTTGATATTCCTAAACAAATTCAACATCTAATCAATTCTGCTTAATAAATTGTTGGAACATCAAAGGTTTACACCAACAGATGCATAAATAAAGATATTAGAAAGTGTTCGAATTCATTTGCATGAATTCTTTAAAATTTTAATTGGTGAAACATTTAATCAATCCGTTGGACCAAAATAAAAATTAATTTTATTTTTGTATTGCCATGCAGTTTGATAAATTCTTTAATGCTTCTTAAGTTATTGAAGTTGAAGAACTTTAGGGGGGGGGGGAGGCACAGGGGGCAAAATACCCCCCCCCCCCCAGTAATACTACCCCTTACCTAGAGCCAATGAAGATATTTTGCAATGCTTTGCAAATATAGAAACCATCATCAGGGTTTCTCACAGCTAAATATTCATCCCTAAACAAAAAATAACAAGTCTTAACATTTGTTCAAATATATTTTATAATCTTTACGTAAAGTTTGTAAGTGTGGCCGAATTAAAAAATTTTATGTACATTTAAAAATTAAGTTCAAAATACGATGAAAAAATCTGTTCCCAAAATACAATTAGAACATCACGTCGATAAAGTAGGCACTGAACTCCATGTTTATTGGGAAACCCTGTAATGTTTTACGTACAGCGGTGGGCAATAGTATCAATACAATGTAGACGAATTTTCTGATTGTTCTAAGATTTTAATGTAAACCATTTTAAAGGCCTGTTTTATAATCTCAAACTTGAGTTTAATTTTATGAATTTTTAAAAGTTTTTAAAGAACTGTAAATAAGTTTTATAAACGCCAAAAGTGTAGCCACTATCCTTTTAATAATGAGCCTTATCTTTCAAGGTTAGTTTCTCCCTTCTAACTTGTGTTCATGTCTCTTTCTCCAAGTTTATAAATCATCTGTTAAATAAATATTCACAAGGTAACTTTTACACTGGGTTTCTTGATTCTCTTCTATTTGAAAAGAAATTTGAAAATCTCAACTCAACTATAAAAAGCTCATTTTATATTTTCGTACCCGAGGCTCCGGTGCATTCTAAACGGACATAGGCTACAAAGACTGTAGATTTAAGCGAAAGTAAATTACTTGAAAAAAACTGGATCCTTTGATTTCTTCTTGGGAGTCTCTTTTTCAACTTTCTTCTTCTCAGCGGGCACTCTCTCTTTCTGAGAAAATGATATAATTTTAAAAACTTTTAACTGAATTAAAAAATGAAATTGACTTTCTTAGATGTTCAAGTTATTTAAGTTTCTCCCGTAGTAACAGGTGACCTCTTAATTAGGCCATTTAAACCTTTATCTGCGCAAAATGGAGGAGAAATCCTCATTTTTCCTTCAGAAAAAGTATCATTTTCTTTCTTTGTCTCTGATTATGAAATATACACGTCACTTTTCAAGAAAAACAACAATGGTAAATTTTAAATTTGTTAGAGAGGAAAACAAGGATAATTATCAGCTGTGTTCAGCCGAAGGTTTCTAAGGTACTAAATCTACATCCCTGGATCGAATTTAGTGAATTTGAGGGGTCTATGAGCTACCTACTATGATCACCGATACATATCCTTCCTAAATCTTTAACTAGGAATCGGTGATTTGAATTTGAACGAACAGTAGGTGGTTTAGCGACCTACCTTTAATTCATTAAATACGGTCCTGTCACCGACATATTTAAAACGCTGGAATAAGTAAACTATACTAATGAACAGTCTTATTTTTCTCACCTTGACTGGTGTATCTCCCTTCTTCTCCTCCTCCTCCTGCTTCTTGATCGTCTTCATGATCTGATCCATTTCAGGGTCCTGGCTCTCATAAATAACAGTCGGCACACGTGCACGCTTACTCGATCTAATCAATCAATCAATAAATCAATCCATAAATCAATCAATCAAATAAATCAATCAATCAATATGTCATGTTTATTGATTGATAACAAAACCCTCAATCAATCAATCAAACATTTTATTACTCAACTTAACAATTAATCACTCAATTAAACAAATACTTATCAATCAATCAAACAATAGATCTCTCAATTGAACAATTAATAATTAAATTAACAATAAATAACATAATTAACTAAAAAAAGTTAATTAAAAGTCAATCAGTTAAAATCATATAAAAAAATAATAAATAAACTTAAGAATTATAATCCATGGATTAACCAATCGATCATTCAATCAATCAATCAATTACTTAATTGATCAATCAATAAAAAAATATTTTATTCAGAAAAAAAATTATCAAACAAAAACGTAATCCCAAACTATCAATTTTGTAATAGATAAGTCCAAACTTAACAAACTTAACCAAAAAGTTGCAAAAGAAAATGAGTCACAAACCTTTTTTCCTCTTCTGGAACAGGTTCTTCCTGAGCTTTCTCAATTTTGCGCTTTTGCCGCGGAGTTTTTTCTGCAACTGGGATTTTGGGCTTCGCTGGGGATCGGGGACCTGAAAGGATTAGAAAATTGGTTTAAAGTCCTTTCTTTGTATAGAAATATCATGGAGCAAATCCTTTCTTTGTATAGAAATATCATAAAGCAAATCCTTTCTTTGTATAGAAATATCATAAAGAAAATCCTTTATTTGTATAGAAATATAATAAAGCAAATCCATTTCTTTGTATAGAAATATCATTAAGCAAATTCTTTCTTTGTATAGAAATATCATAAAGCAAATCCTTTCTTTGTATAGAAATATCATAAAGCAAATCCTTTCTTTGTATAGAAATATCATAAAGAAAATCCTTTCGTTGTATAGAAATATCATATAGAAAATCCTTTCTTTGTATAGAAATATCATTAAGCAAATCCTTTCTTTGTATAGAAATATCATTAAGAAAATCCTTTCTTTGTATAGAAATATCATATATAAAATCCTTTCTTTGTTTAGAAATATCATTAAGAAAATCCATTTCATTGTATAGAAATATCATAAAGCAAATTCTTTCTTTGTAAAGAAATATCATGAAGCAAATCCTTTCTTTGTATAGAAATATCATAAAGAAAATCCTTTCTTTGTATAGAAATATCATTAAGAAAATCCTTTCTTTGTATAGAAATATCATATATAAAATCCTTTCTTTGTTTAGAAATATCATTAAGACAATCCTTTCTTTGTATAGAAATATATAGAAAATCCTTTCTTTGTATAGAAATATCTTTAAGAAAATCCTTTCTTTGTATAGAAATATCATCAAGCAAATCATTTCTTTGTATAGAAGTATCAAAAAGCAAATCTTTTCTTTGTTTAGAAATATCAAAAAGAAAATAGATTATCAAGTACGATAGGTGGCAACAAAGAAATGGACCAATTAATTATACACGACGTCACAAGTGTCAAATATAACAAGGAAATTTTCTCACTTAAGTTAACTTGTTTCCAATATTGAATAAAAAAGTGTACAGACAGAAAGTAAAGAACACATAAATTGTACTTATTTCACTGTTAGTAAAGCACTTTATTTTAAAATTATCACTATTATTAATTTTGTCCGAGACAAAACTTAGTTGACAGGTGTGACGTAAGAATACAGCTGTACTAGACTGTACAAATTCTAAGTTTCCATTTATTGTACTTGACAATATATTTGTCATAAAGTAACATAAAAAAGATTGACATATGACATATGAAAATTGACGGGGGAGAAGGGTCGAAAATGTCTCCTAAAATGCTAAAAATTGGATGGAAAAATTAAATGAAAACCTGGTTTTTTGTTCTGAACTGGGGGCGTAGCAGCTTCTTGCATTTCTATTTCAGACTTAGACTTCTCAAGTTTTTCAAGATTTTTCTTCGGGGGTACAGGAGAACTACTATTTTTCGGAGGCACGGGAGAACTACACTTTTTCGGAGGTACAGGAGAACTGGATTTCTTCGGAGGAGCAGGAGAGCTTGATTTGACCTCCAGTGCAGCTTTAGGAGCTACTGTAGGGGCTTTAGGGACAGGAGAACCGGGTTTAGGGACTGGTGTTGCGTCTTTTTTAGTCGGAGCAGGAGGAGTTTTAGTCGTTGGTTCAACGCTCTGAAAAAAAATAAAAAAAGATGAAAAACTTTTTTTTCTTCGGTCAGATGGATAATATATATAAATGTTTGTTATCAAATCAAATCAAGCTTGTCGCTGACCAAACGACTGATTGGCTAACCATTTTTTACGGAACCAATTGGTAACCCCAGAGAGACATAGGTTCATTTTTTTGGAAATATTATTTCAGGCAACGCCGGGCACTTCAGCTAAACTCATGATTATATAGTATATACCAAGCGCGGGAAAACGGCGGAATTAAATACGACTATGGATAATAATATAAACCTGGGCACTTTAGCTAATATTTTACTATTTAGGAGGGGAGGGAGGGGGGCTGGGAGGTGCAGGTGATCTGAATAAATACCTTGGGGATTATGGGTCTTGCAGGAGGTTCATTGTTCAGATCATCAACTCCTTCCGTAGGAGCTGTAGGAACTGCAGGTGCAGGGGGCGTACTCTTGGGAGCTGCTGCACTGGTAGGTTTGTCAGAAGAAGCAGCAGCAGAAGGAGAAGCTGTAGTGATGGGAGCCGCTGTAGTGATGGGAGCAGCTGTAGTGATGGGAGTAGCTGTTGATGGAGAAGCAACTGATGCTGTGGGAGCAGCTGTTGTTGTGGAAGCAGCAGCTGCAGGAGTAGCTGCTGGGGCGGGAGCTGCTACTTTGATCTCCTGGACAATATTAAATGATTGTTTCCTCTTAATTAACAACAACAAAAAATCATTGTTTAATAAACAGTACTTTTAATTAAAATTTGCTGCTATGATCTATTATCAAAAAAATTCTAGGAATGCAATAATCTATGTTTAATAATTACTATATCGTTTTAGAGAGCTTAGAGAAAAATTTTTGATAGATAGTGTTTTTCTTAATTTTATTTCATATTTTCGAGTGAAGAAATAAACTTTAAAATTTGTTTTTAAGAAACTCATTAAAAACTGTGGAGAAATGTTATGGCGGAATATGGTGTTAAAATTTTTTTTAAAATGAAAATATTTTTTAGTTATACCTTTAGATCTGATTGAATTGTAGGCTTCAAGGGTTGAGATATAGGTATTTCATCTTTAGCTAAATAATAATTGTATTCTTAATTAAAACAATAATAATAATAATAATGATAGTAATGATAGTAATGATAGTAATGATAGTAATGATAGTAATGATAGTAATGATAGTAATGATAGTAATGATAGTAATGATAGTAATGATAGTAATGATAGTAATGATAGTAATGATAGTAATGATAGTAATGATAGTAATGATAGTAATGATAGTAATGATAGTAATGATAGTAATGATAGTAATGATAGTAATGATAGTAATGATAGTAATGATAGTAATGATAGTAATGATAGTAATGATAGTAATGATAGTAATGATAGTAATGATAGTAATGATAGTAATGATAGTAATGATAGTAATGATAGTAATGATAGTAATGATAGTAATGATAGTAATGATAGTAATGATAGTAATGATAGTAATGATAGTAATGATAGTAATGATAGTAATGATAGTAATGATAGTAATGATAGTAATGATAGTAATGATAGTAATGATAGTAATGATAGTAATGATAGTAATGATAGTAATGATAGTAATGATAGTAATGATAGTAATGATAGTAATGATAGTAATGATAGTAATGATAGTAATGATAGTAATGATAGTAATGATAGTAATGATAGTAATGATAGTAATGATAGTAATGATAGTAATGATAGTAATGATAGTAATGATAGTAATGATAGTAATGATAGTAATGATAGTAATGATAGTAATGATAGTAATGATAGTAATGATAGTAATGATAGTAATGATAGTAATGATAGTAATGATAGTAATGNAAAATAACAAAATAATGCTAATACTAATAGTAATAATAATAACAATACTGTTGTACAAAATTTGTTTTAACATCTAGCCAGTTAATCTTACCATTTGTTTCCTGCGCCTGTGCTCCAGTAGCTCCCGGGGTAACATGGTTTGGAGCCTGATGGTTAGCTCCCTCCACCTGATCAGGTTTAGCTCCAGGTTTAGCTTTGGAGCCAGGGGGGCAGAGAGGAGAGACGGTAGGTAGAGGCATAGGTCGGGTCGGAGGGATAGTGGTTCGGATCAAACCTGAAAATTAATCTACAATTTACGGGGGTACAAAATGTTAATAATAAATTCAAACAAAATGGACCCGATGTGTTTTCTCTAAACAGGGGTATATATATAATTTAAAAGTTATTTATCATTGATTGTATGGGATTTAAAAAAAACAAATTAACATAATAAACATGTTTTCTAAAAACTATTCAGTGAATAAAACCCAGAAAACTTTAGCTTGACACTTGACATGAAAGAATTTTTTTTGAAATTATTATTATAACATAGTTTTTAGATTCTTAATATTTTAATTGTCAAATTATAAAAATATATTTTTTTTAAATAGTTATCTATTCTCTCTCCAAGTCTCTTTCTCTTGAATAAACGTGCAGGGGATTTATATCTTAATAATTAACGTCCAGATTACAAATATTTTATCAATTAACCAGCCGGGGATATATATTTATTAATTAACGTCCAGATTATATAAATCTTTCAATTTACCTGCCGGGGATATATATTTATTAATTAACGTACAGGGGACATATATTTTATTAATTGACGTCCAGAGTATATACATTTCAGGAACTAACGTCCAGAGGATACATGTTTTATAGGGGATATATAATTTATTTATTAACGTTCAGGGGATCTATAAATTATTAATTAACGTCCAGAGTCTCTTTCCCTTGAAATTAACGTCATGGAAATTTATATTTATTAACTAACGTCCTAGAGATATATATTCTATCAATTAACCTTCAGGGGAATATATTTTATTAATTTACGTCCAGAGTATTTACATTTCAGGAATTAACGTCCAGGGAAATTATATTTTATTAATTAACGTCCAGGGGATATATATTTATTAACAAACGTGCAGGGTATTTATATATTTATTAATTAACATCCAGGGGATATATATTTTATTAAATAACGTCCAGGGTATATTCAGACTGACTGAGACAANGTTGCTTAGTTAAATTGTAGACGATATTACTTTGTTAAATTGTAGACGATATTACTTTGTTAAATTGTAGACGATATTGTTTAGTTAAATTGTAGACGATGTTACGTAGTTAAATTGTAGACGATATTACTTGGTTGAATTGTAGACGATGTTGCTTAGTTAAATTGTAGACGATGTTGCTTAGTTAAATTGTAGACGATATTACTTTGTTAAATTGTAGACGATATTACTTTGTTAAATTGTAGACGATATTATTTAGTTAAATTGTAGACAATGTTACGTAATTAAATTGTAGACGATATTACTTTGTTAAAATTAACTTACTGTTCAGAAATTTAAACGTTAATAAAATATATATTTTTGCGTATTGTGCATGTAAACATTGCGTAATATTTTTTCTCTCTTATCTCTACACAACTGAAACTTTAAAATGTACTTCAAAGCGTTTTTTATTCTCTTAAAACGCTTCTCCACAAGATCCGTTGTTTATAACCTTAAAATCTTATCTTAATTTGATCTATCTATCTACCTGGTTGAGATTTCTCTAGTGGTCTGGCCAACCTCAAAGGGTTGACCGGCTTCTGTTCAGCTGCTTTCAGGTCACCAGCTAAAATGAAACTATGTTGTAACAAATTCCAAAATAATCTTTAAATCCTTTAAAATAGAATTTCATGATGAATGCATTGATTAAAAAGAAATAGGTAAAATTTTCCGTAATGATGAAACCTGTTTAATTTGAAGGACTAATTTACTTAAATCTGAGCATAATATTCCCCGCCCTTGGATGCAAAATTATAACAAAAATCATAGGGCAAGAGTACGATTGATTGCTTCTCAATTGATATTTTTTTTAATGCCATTTTTTACTTTTTATTGCTTTGGGATTCATTATTGCTTTGTAAAGTACCAGTTAAGCACTTTATTGNACTACAAGTGTGATTTCAAGTGACACTCTATGCACAGACGGCAATGCCCGATTCACAATAGTATCCTTTAAAGCTTTGTCTTATCAAGAAGGAATTATATATCAATGTTTATAAGTTAATGAGTTTGAGAAACCGATTGTTTTCAAATGGAGGTTTCTATTTCCTACAGTACATACAAATTGGAATTATCATGCACTTTTAAACCTGGGAAATTGGCTAAATCTTGCCTATTATTGATCAGAAAAAAGTTTCTAAGGTACTTTGAAAATAGGGCACTGCCCTCTTCGCAAAAGGGTCACTAATCTTACTCGTACAGTCCCTTTAAGACTTGAAATAAGGGGGAATTATTTCTATACCTGGTCCTATTCCGTTGGGTGTGGCGGAGACTACCGTCGGAGCGGCGGTATCATTAGCAGGCGGGGCAGGGGTAGGCGGGACAGTGCTGGCGGTAGAAGGAGTACCGTTAGCAGTTGGCTGATCGTGGGTTTCCATATTCTAAATATAATATTTTTTTTACTATTCGGAGGCGGTTAACAAGCGAGGAAACTTAATTCAAGATCAAAGGTATCTAGTCCCTCTGTCCCAGAACAATTTGTAGGGGACAGAGGGACTAAGGTCACAAAAGAGAATACATGTTCAAGATAATGGGAACTATGATTTTATCATTCAATTCTATATTTGGTTCAAAATGCGATACTTTGCTTAGTATTTTACTGTTAGAAAATTAAAGGTATTTTAATTAAGTGATTTTACTATTTGATATAAAGCATTACACAGGTTAGAACAGAAGTCCGAGAAACTAAAAATTACTGAACGTAAAAGAAATGATGTGGGACAATCTGTCCCACATCATTTCGGATATAGCTCTAAATTGCGATTTATCGGGACAACTCAGAAAATTTCAATATGAAATGGGACAGTGCTTAAGATCCGGATCCAAGGGGCAAAATATCAACCAAAAAAACAAAACTCAAACCCCAAATCTTAACTGTTAAAATAAAAGAGAGATTATAAAAATTTCCTGAATTCTAAATGATTTATCAAGTTTTAGCATAAAATAGCTGTAAAAATAAGCAAAAAGTAAAGAAGAAAATTTTTTTGACAACTGAGCTTTGTTAAAAAAAATTAGGTAATTTCCTAGAGAGGTGGCCCACATCTTAAAAATGCCGACCCATACGGTCGACTCTGCTAAAACAATCGCCGAAAATATTTGTTAAATCTACGCCATGCTTTTTTCTTTTCTTTAAAATTTTCTCAGTAATTACCTTTCAGGATGTGTTCGCATTCGTAGAAACCCCAAGAAAACAATTTAACAATGCGTTTATAAATTGTTTTGATTTCACAGATTTGCTTCACAACAATTTCTGTTGATTCTCCAATAAATGCAGAGAATTATGTTTCAGTATTTCTTCATTATTCTGAAATAAACAGGTCTTCAACTATTTAAAATTTGAAAGAACATAAAGAATGCACTTGTTCCACAATGTTCACTGTTCACTTCACCCTTTAGTCGCCATTACAAGGTGCAGATAGTGTCCGCTAGATGGGGTTAGTGAATACACCGGCAGCACAACTTTCCGAGCTTTCTCATGGAACGTCGTCTTCTCTATAAGAAATCAGAAAATTTGTAAACTTATCATTTAAACATTTTTTCAAATATTGTTAAAAAACCTTAATTCCATTCTCTCACAATAAAATTTCAAAATTGTCGGGCTTTTCTTCCGTTTTTAAAGCATACACGACCGTAAAGGATTGAAATATAAATCCCATAACAGAATTTGCACAACGGTCTGTCCTATTCTCCTATAGAGGACGGTTTCTGGACCCCCCCCCCCCCGGCCCCGCGTCAGCGCGCAATAAAAAATGGTTGTGTCCCCCCTTGGCACTATTGTTAAAAACCCCTTTTAGAGAAAATATTAATACCTTTTTAGTACACACTTCCCAAGTGTTAATAAATTATTTATGTAATTTTCTTAAGATGGACTCATCAGAGTCGACTATCCTTCTCAATACTGTAAAGTGTAAGCTTCAAGGGATGAAAACTAGAAATGGAAACGTTTCTTAGAAAATATCTATATTTCTATAGGATCGCTACATATATGTATTATGATGATATCAAATATATTTACACTGAAGGCAGTATTAATTAAAGCAATTTTTCAATGAAACTTTTTAGTTAAGGGCAAAAGTGAGATTTTAAAGTATTTTTCTATACGATGTAATTATATTTAAATGGAATAAATGCGTAATTTCAAGTGACCCTCCATTTATAGAGTGGCATGTCCGATGCACCTTTGAAACCTTCATTTCTCCATCGTTTCTGGAGAAAGACATGCACTTTTGTAGAGAAACCACAAATAAAAATAATCAGTTTTCAAAATGGGAAACATGTATATTTAATGCAATACTTGATCAGTAAAAAGAAAAGCTTTGAAGGATATTGTTGTGAATCAGAATATAATTTATTTATTTTCTTAATCTTTTAGTTTGGGTGAGTGCAGCAATGCAATGCAATGTAGAATTTAGATAACCGGATGAAGGGAAATGCAAGCAGATTTAATAATAAAAGACTCCCCTCAGGGGGGAAAGAGGTGCTCGCCCCCCCAGCTCGTGCGCTCCTGATTATTGTTTACTCAATTATAGAGATGTGTCTTGGCAAAACTGAACTATTTAATAAAGCTGCCCTCAAATGTATCCTATTCATGTTTGACCTCAGATCCCCCCCC